GTAGAAAATTCTTGGTTATTTTAAATACAATCTTGGTGCTGATTTTTTCAAAGTTTGAATTTGAATTTACTTTTTAAAAATTAAATTTTTAACAATAACATATAAAACTTAAAATTAAAAATATTGATATAAATAAATTTTAAATTTAATTTTAAATTATATTTTTTAACTTTTATATTACTTCATTAATTTTATAAATTATTCATATTAATTATGTAATTAATAACATCATAATTATATTATATATAAAATATTTAAATTAGTTATATAATTATATTAAAACTAATTTAACATGAAATATATTAAAATATAAATGGCTTTTCTATATAGCTTTTACCATTGGAATGCATATCAACAAAAAAGCTATATCTATCCTATTTATAAAGCCATATTATCAATATAGCTCTTCTAAAAAGCATCTCCCGTTGGAGATGCTCTTACAAACCAAGAGAATTTATCTTTCACGACATGTTATTTTTCATGAAACCCAAACAGCTACCTCCTTCTTCCCTGTAGCCACGCCTGTTCATTCATCTGCCTTGTTGCCACGGCCCATCGAGTCGCCTCTCATGCCACAACCACCACCAGTGCGAATGGACGGTACACCTGCTTCCTCATCACCTTCAGGTATTTCCCCTAATTTTTCATCCTCTAGTTTACTTAATTTTCAGAACACCTCCCTCGCCACTTGTTCCTCTGTACCGCCCCCTGTTCTTTCCCAGCCTCAAACCTCCCACAGTTCATCCCCTTCTCTCCCTACACCCATAGCTCATCAACCCACCGACAACACCTCTCACACCCACTCCATGATCACACGCTCTATGAACAATATCTATAAGCCCAAGCAACTTCATTTTATTTCCAAACACCCCATTCCCCCTGCCATTGAACCCACTTGTGTGAGTCAAGCAATCCTTGACCCAAAATGGCGCAGTGCTATGTCTGATGAGTTAACAGCCCTCATGCATCATCGCACGTGGGACTTAGTTCCACCACCCACTCACTGCAAACCCGTGGGCTGCAAATGGGTTTTTAGGGTCAAACGAAAACCGGATGGGTCTGTTGATAGATTCAAAGCACGCCTCGTTGCCAAGGGCTTTCATCAACGCCCCAGACTAGATTACAATGAGACTTTCAGTCCGGTTATGAAACCGGCCACCATACATACTATTCTTACAATTTCTGTAATGCAAGGGTGGTCCTTGCATCAACTAGATGTAAACAATGCGTTTTTACATAGAAAGTTACGTGAAGTTGTTTATATGATTCAACCTCCTGGCTTTAAAGATTGTTCAAAACCTAATCATGTTTGCAGGTTACATAAGACCATCTATGGTCTGAAGCAAGCGCCACGAGAATGGTATTCTGCTCTAAAGACAAAAATTCTAGCACTCGGGTTTACAAATTCCAAAGCTGGTAGCTCTTTTTTCATCTACAATACTGCCTCTGTTTTCTGTTTCCTGTTGGTGTATGTAGATGATCTGATAATCACCGGTAGTGACAGTGTGTTTGTGAGTTCCATCATTGATCAACTTGGAGTTGTCTTCTCTATCAAAGACACGGGATCTCTTCATTTTTTTCTCGGCATGGAAGTCATTCCAACAACGGATGGACTTTTTCTATCTCAGCACAAATACATCAATGACATTCTCCGTAGCACAAACATGCTTGGTGCCAAAGAGGTGTCCACTCCCTTGTCCACCACAATAGCTCTCCAACTCATTGATGGCACCTCCTCTATGGACAGCACTGAGTTCAGGCGTGTCATTGGTGGCTTTCAGTATCTCTCTCTTACACGCCCTGACATATCATTTGCAGTAAACAAACTGTCCCAATTCATGCATAAACCCACTACTACACACTGGACAGCGGCAAAGCGACTTCTCCATTATTTGAAGCATACCATTTATCATGGTATCCACATTAAAAAAAATTCTCGCTTAAACCTCATGACCTACACTGATGCTGATTGGGCCGGCAACTATGATGATCGCAGCTCAACATCTGCCTATATTTGCTTTCTTGGCTCCAATCCGATATCCTGGAGCTCCAAAAAATAGCGGGCTATTGCAAGATCATCCACAGAAGCGGAATACAGAGCCCTTGCAAATGCAGCATCTGAAACCATCTGGTTATTGTCCCTCTTTCAGGAACTTGGACTAACTCTTACTTCGCCACCAACATTACTTTGTGACAACCTGGGTGCTACACAACTCAGTCTCAATCCCATCCAACACTCTCGGATGAAGCACATTCAAATTGACCTGCATTTTGTTCGGGATATGGCGCAGAAAGGACTATTAAATGTTCATCATGTACACAGCCACGACCAGCTTGCTGATCTCCTCACCAAACCTTTGTTTGCTCAACGAAATGAGCACCTCAGAACCAAGATTGGTCTTGCTGATGGCAGCCCTATCTTGCGGGGGCGTATTAAGGATCACTCCACCGATCCTGCCTCAGATCACTCCATAGATTTTGCCTCAGATCAAATCACAAAAGACTAGCCTAAAATCAAGACTCACAACGGTTATAATCTTCACAGCCACAATTATAGCTAGTCTTCCTAAAACAACATGTCTGATTCTATGTATATATATATATATAGCTCTTCAAGTACTTGTAATGGTGCGTGTAAAAAAAATAATACATTTATTTTATCAATACACTGTCTTCATTCAAACTTCAACAGACAGGACGTGATTTGGCAATGACTCGAGGTAGAGAAAACCTGTTACCAATTTATATGGCAGCTCTGTTGGGGCATAGAGGGATGGTGTCATATCTTTATGATGGAACGAACGAGCAGTTAACAGATAGCGATCGCATAACGTTACTTGTTGCTTTGATCAACAGTGAAATATATGGTGAGAATTAAATCTTTTCTACGTTTTAAATGTATGGATGAACATGCAATGTTTGATAGCTTGATACCATTTAGATATTGAATTTATCTTTCAAATGAAATCAAACTGTTCGAGTTTGTGATTGCTACTATCTGGAAGAGAAATTTAACATTCAACTCTGAAACATCTTATTCGTAAGCCTTTCAAAATCTAACTTGTTTTCATATTTTTTTAATGTAATTGCCAGATTTGCGTTGAGAATTCTAAAAGCACATCCCGGGTTGGCCTGTGCTCGTGATGAACATCAGCTGACTGCTGGCGGCATTGCATGCACTTGCCCAAAAGTCTTGTATGCCTTCATAACGTTGTCGATCAAAGTCCGATCCTCCAGGATTTTGGAACAAATGCCTCGACCCATGTTAGTTCTCTGATGCTCCAAATCTCTATTTCTTGAGAAAGAAACCAATCCAAAAATCTCAGCCGGTTAGAGAGAACGCCAAAGATCAACTTTATATCTTTATCATATTCATGATCACTTTATACACCATTTTCATGGATGCATGCATATATTCAAGCTTGCAAACTTGTGTGTTACAAGGAATTAGCATTGATCATACTATCATCACATTTTTAACTTAACCCCGTTGGTGAACTACATTTATATTTTACATCTTCGATTTAGAACTCAACCCCGTTTCCCAAAATTCAATTTCTCAGTTTCAGGTTTCAAATTGGCACAGATGAAGAAACTTGTGCACAGACAAGCACTTGACATAATCCAGTACCTTTGGGAACAAGTTGTCTTGTTGGATGATTCAAGAATCTCTAGCCAGATTGGAAAACCCTGGCCATTGATATTCACTGCTGCAGAAAGAGGGAACCTTGACTTGCTAACAATACTTATTCGCTTGTATCCGGAGTTGATCTTCAAAGTTGATCAAAATACGTATAGCATATTTCATATTGCTATCTTGAATCGTCACGAGGACATCTTCAAGATTATATACCAGATTGGTTCTATTAAGAATGTGATGACAATATACAAAGATAGAGAAGGAAATAATATGTTGCATTTGACCGCAAAAGTACTGGAATCACCAAGTCGACTTAATGTCACACCAGGAGCAGCTTTACAACTGCAACGCGAATTGCTGTGGTTCGAGGTGACTATTCTCTCTCTTTCCATCAAAAAAATACATTTGATTGTAGGTCATATGCATTAAGCCAACCTTATTCGTCCATCATATGATAAGTGGATAAGATCGATGTTCATATGCACGCGCATGTGATTAAATATTGCTATAATATTCTCCTTCTATATATGAATACCTCGCAGTCTGATCTCTACATGATGATCACGCATGTTCCTTGTTCCAAGTAATTTAAAATCAACACACAAAATAATAAAAATAAAATCTTGAGCCATCATATTCAAATACAAAATACAACCTCTAGCCCATTGCATTGTTCATGAACAGATTGTAGTAAAGATTGAAGATGTATCTAGCTGTATTTTATATTTTAGATTATATGTTGAAAAATAATATAAAATTATTTTGATTAAGTGTTCATGATTTAAATCTCATCATTTCTATTATAATTAATAAAAAAAATTAAATACAAAATAATATAAATATATAAATGTTTCAAGTTCAAATCCTTTCACTTGAAAAGGTGTATTAAAGAGTAATATAAAATTAATCTTGAAACCCTATCTAAAAACAATTAAAATATTAAAATCAACAATTTTGAGTGTTTGATAGGCAATAGAGTTGGTTGGAGTTGATTTCATTCTTAACTTCTCCAAAATCCATCTCATGGTGAACGTGATGAACTGTGAACCTACAGCATGCCAATCATGTTCAGCACGGGACCTTTCAACCATTCTGCATCCTTCTACATAAAAAATATCAAGAAACTTGTTACATAGTGATACTTTGAACCATCAATTCCAATCCTGACCTTATAAAAAACATTGGTCGGTTGATTCCGCCCTTTTTTACCACTTTCTGGCCCAAACATGGACGAGTACAAAGAATATCAAAATATAATGGCAAATGTTAAAGAAATAGATTCCTTGGGAAACTCTTTCACTGAAAGTACATCAACCAATAAAAAGTACTTCTCTTCAATCTCTGGACTGGCATCAGCTTGATGATGTTTTCCGTCGAGATAATGAAAGCGCCAAAAAGAGTCGTAAAATTTGTAAAACATGAGTATAGTTGAGGTTAATTAAAAAATTTCAACTCACTTTTGTAGAAATTTAATCTCTAACATAAACTCATTAATTTCTAATTTAATCTCCATAGGAATTATACTAGACCCACTACCTCTCTTCAGACATCAAGTGGCCTCCCACCCCCATCTGCAGAAGTGAACATTACAGGGGCTGCTCCAAGTAATCATGCAAATGGAGTAACAAACCAAGATGGAAAAACCCCTCCATGGGTTTCCAATCCTTTTATTAGTCTCATTCTCTCCTGCCGAAGAAAACATTGCACGAGCAGCAGCTTTAAGCAGCCCTGGGACTGGAACATCAAACCAAAGTTGTTAAGAGCTGGAAAATGGAATACCATATCAAGATGGTAAACCATGCACCCCAACTTCACGCCTCTTCGCTGTAATTATGGTCGACCTGCTCCCTCTTTTCTAGCACTTAAAAGCTGTTTGCAGCACCCTCATGACCGCCGATTTTGCTTGGAGTCCGCTCAGACGTGCTGCCTAGAATAGACAATGAGCATCACAATCACGCAGAGGGTTTGGGAGCATAAAACCAGACACGAGGGAGAGTGTAAATAACAGAAAACTTTCTTTAAAGGGGTCTATGAGACATTCAAAATAAAACCGAACTATGCAAACATGTTATGATACATTCACAGTTTGGACATAAACCAGGCCAAGGGATTGAGTTTGTTCAGGGTCACAAGGAACATGTCCTTGAAACCTACAGTATGTTCCCCCCATTAAACTTCATAACATTTGAGGGAGGAAAAAATACATACAAACCAGACAACATTCATATGAATAATCAACATTTGGATTTTTACAGGAAAACCACTTGACGATTCTTGACTTCAAGTAAGGAAGCCAATTATTGTGCAGTAACCCGAGCAACACCTGCAGAGAAAGATATCCAAAATAGAACTAGTATGATGCCCATACATAATATGAGGCGCAGGAGCAAATGCATACTGAAACTTGACCAGCCTGTAGTTAAAACTGGTTCTTGTTGTTGTTATTGTTATTATTTGCAACATTAACATCGTATTTGGTTAGTGTCCCGGGTTGAAAGAAATAGAAACAACGCAGAAAAGAAAACAAAAAGATATTTGTATTTATTAATTAGTGATATACAAGATAAAGTTACTATCTTTGTATCCTTTGTAGTTGATGGTGCGTGCATGCTCGTATTACCCTTAACATATATGTATATATATTGTCAAAGTTACAAACATGTAAAAAAATAATTATATATTTTTTTTTATATTAAGTATTGAAATTAATAATAGTATAATAACCTAGTTATAAACCCAGACTTGCCTGCAGGTCGAGCTAGGACCCGGCCAGCCCAAGGCCTGTACTGGTCCGAATTTATGAAAATACAAGAGATTAACCAAGCCCAACCCAGTTAGGTCGACCCACAACTTGATCAACCCAAGATAAAAACCAGTAAGAACCCATTGATTAAAAATGGTCAAAACAATGTTGTTGTGATCCTTTTTTATTAAAAAAAAAATAAGGTTAACTAAAGTTGACCCTTGTATGCCTCTTGTTTTATAAGTAGAGAAATTTACTCCAAAATTATCTCAAGAACAGATTTGTTTTTATCTATATCTTGGTCTCCTCAACCTATCCTGAAACATTAACCAATCGCTACCTAAAATCCAAATGCTAAAAAAAAATGGACAATAATTTCCTACTTCCATTTCATCGCACCCATCTAAATTCTAACTGCAATAACTTTCATATACTTCTCTCATACACATACCATCAGCCTAAAACATCTAATGTCATTTCCCCTCTACTTTTTATATAATTACACTTTTTTCTTCAAAATAATTTCTTACTTCTCATTATAACACTCCACGGGTAATAAATACTAACCATTTGTCGCTGCCTCTTCTTCCTCTTCTTCATCAATCGTTTTCCATACGATGTCTTTCAGCCCAGTTGCAAGGTTCTTGTAAAACTGTCATTCAAGCCAGATGATTTCAAAATTACACCTTACAACAATTAAATATAAAAGAAAGAATTAACTGAAAACATAGTTTTGGGACAACAATGCCAGTGGAGGGAGATACATATTTTATGGCCTGTTGGGTCCACCCAACAAGACCAGACACGAATCTAGCCTTCCGCTCACTCCATGAGATTATAAGACCCAGAAAGCAAGCAAACCAATTTAGCTTCACCTTATTCTTGAGCTAACAATGCTATAGTTAACTTTTTTAACTTTGCCTTGTGCCTGGGAAAAATTTAAAATTCAACTTGGCCTAGCATGTTTAATATCATAAGCATTTTTTTCAGTAATAATAATAATAACAACAACAACAACAATTGGAGGATTAAATGGGCGAAGCTGGATCATATGTTGTAGTTAATGACTAGTTTTTGGCATCAATGTGTATACCATCAACCATGGTTGGGTATCTCACATACCCATCCCAGTCCATGGAAAAAGCTGAATCACGCATGATATACTTATTCGCTACACCATCAACTGTGGTTGGGTATCTCACAAAGCCCTCCCAGTCCACCCTCCCTATTTACCAAAAGGGTCACTTGTCATAATTGTTTTTGCATGAAAAATGAAATAAGCAAACCAGCTGACTATATACTTTTCAAGAACAGGTCCATTGAATTTGCAGCCAAACCAAGGGTCACACACAAGACCTAATCACACAGACATCAACCTGATTGACAAAAAAGAATACGAAGACCAGAAACTTTTTTGAGCGAGGAGAAATTCTTCATTACTGTTTTAATTGCCACAACAGCACCAACATTTAAATTACCTTATGAAATTCCAGGGTATCACCATCAGACTTGCGAACCTCAACCATATAAAGAGAAGGGGCCACTTCAAAGACCTGAGAGAAAGAGAATTATGTTAGGACCCAGTTCAAACCACTACAGACAAGTCTATCAGTACAGATTTCCTAGAGACATACCTCTGTTGAAACAGATAAACGACCCTTGCGTCCATCCTTCTCCCCTTGAAGCTTCATCTGTGATTTGAAATAGAAGAGTTGTTTCAGTAGAAACAATAATTTAACACTTGACTGATAACAAAATCAAATTTCTAAAGGAATCCTGTTTCCTCACACACAAAATCAGGAGCCCATTGAACCATATAGAAAAAGCTCAACAATGATAAATCAATTTACTTATGAAGGTGAAAGACAAGGAAAAAAATAGGAGGAGGCAGATTTCATTCAGGTATATTAAGGATTCCAGTTTGGAGGTAGCTCTTGAAAGCCATACAGACATCATAACAAGTTGGATGCCGGAAAACCACAGGAATCTTGCTAAACATGAACTAAACATTCCACCAAAAACTCTCATTTATAAAAAAAGGAGAAAATTATCAGACCTTAAAGTTATTTTTCTTTACATCAAAACCCAGAGGTGCTGCTGCTGCTTCAATTTTCGAGATTATCTCACTAGCAGAGTGTTTGGAAGTGAATCTCGTTTCCCGTTTAACAAGCCCCTGGTTGCAAAAGGAAAAGAAAGTCTCTTAGGTTCATGGTTGTGAAACTCAAAGATAACTACACATCCATGGAGGTGGTCGCGGCTCGTTAAACTCTGATATTTCAAAAAACACACTGGAAGACAACAGTTATCTGATTTTTGTTTGGCAATTATTTCACAAAATTGATAATGCTAAATATCAGAACAAAGTTGGAATATCAACTAAAACATGCTTTTAAATGATAGAAAATCTAAGTGTATAATGCTACAGTTGGAGTATTCAACCATTAATCTTTGGTATAATTATAATTTGAAAAGATTTCACCATAAACAAATGTACCAAACTGTCAGGCTCTCTCAAGTTCCAACATTTTCCAGATTTTGGTTTCATTTATATAGAACAACAACGAGTTTAAAACTTACCATTTGTTTCTCAAAAAGACTACTAAGGTTGAGACCCTGAGAGGTAGAGATAAGTTCAAACGCATTCATGGTTACAGGAGCCATAGGCCCTATAAACCCTTCTTCTCGCCTCTCCACAACAAGGTTTTGAGAATCCTGTTAACCATGAGAAACATCAATTACAAACCCACAGGTGGTGCACTAAGTTTGAAAGCAGGATGCACAAATGAAACACAGGAATTACCATTGATTCATTGAAGATAGAGTCCACATCGTCGAGACTAACATTAGCCTTTTCAAAAG